CCTCTACCACACTCCCCTCCCCACACTCCCCTTTGTCCTATCCAAAGTTGCATAGGGCTATTTTATTTTTAGAAAGAATAAACTTGAACTCCTGTGTGATTAGGAAGGTTGAATTAAACAAAACATCAGAAACAATTTTCAAACTCATAAGTTTGATCTTACCTCCCTGGAGTACAAATGTTTGACAGTAATCACAATTGAGTATTCATGTTTTTTGAGAAAGCCAAATAATACTAAAACAATACAGGCACACACACATATATCCATCCAGACATTCAATGACATATATGTCCTTGCATGCTTATGTACCTATATAACTGCTCCGCAAAATAGGGAATTAATTTTGAATAAACAGTTGAACATTCTTTTTCTTCCTAGCTTTTCTCATATATCTGTATAAAATATAAACTACATATGCATTTAGGGTCATTGGAGTCATTTTCTTGGTCAAAGCACTATTATAAAGGGGCAAAAGTAGTAACTGAAAATAAGATAAATTCTCTTTGGTATGAATAAATGCTTGCACATCTGTATTTTATAAAGCTTTTTATCAAGTCCATCCTGATAAAATGATATAAAAGTGTGCCTAATTGGGGGGTTTACATATAGAGGTTACAAAAGAAATAATGGAGCACTTGTAAGGATGAGCTGAAGGTAAAGTGGCCTATACTGAAATACAGTGTATTCTAAGTGAAGCCTCCAGCTTCTTAAGATCACAGTCTATCAATCACTACTGCTCTGAAAGTTTCTTGTCTCAGATATACTCTACTGCTTACACTGCATCATGTTTAGTAATTTAGATGGATTCTACCGAGAAATAAACTCTCAGTACTAGGTTTACGCATAGCATCTATAAACATGTAAGGAAGTCATTATCGTGAATCAAAATTCCAACAATTATTATTGAAGCTTTACTATGTTGTAGGCACATAAAATTGAATTTTAAGAGAAAGCATTAAGAGATGGAGACTTCTAAATTCTCCAGAGGCTGGAATGAAAACTGTAGAAAGAAGTAAAGATTGTATTAGGTTGTGAGCTTCCTAGGAGATAGTAAAATAAAAACAGAAAAGGCTCTGGAATCATACTAAACTTGAGCACCAAACTTACTTGTAAATTCACCAGCTGTAGGATCTTAGACAAGTTGTTATAAAATAGAGATGATAATGCTACATTAATGAAATAATAAAATGATGCATTAAAGGTACCTAATATATTCCTTGCATGCCAACAGATGTTCAATAAATAATGATTCTTTTCATTAAACATTCTATTAGTAACATCAAGTGCATTCTATTAGTAACTCTGCTGCCATTTTTTAAATTTCACCAAGAACCTGCCACAGTTCTTAGCATATGAAAAATTCTTACTATAGATTTGCTAAATGAAAGAGCACTGAATGAAACCCATACTGTACATTTACAACACTTCCACCTGTCTCCATCCCTCTGAGAAGAATTTCCTAGGACAGAAGTTGACCCTTTTTGAGGGATTCTGTTGTTTGTCTTTCTGGCTGTTTGAATATTTTAACAGCAATGTACTTTTTCCTCTGATTGCTAACACACCATCTCCAGACACAGATCTGACATTTCCATATTTCCATTCTCTTTTAAAACCATAGGAGAATATTATGATGATCCAAAATTCTGCTCATGTGGTCCCAAGAGGTTCAGGTCACTTGGTGGAGTACCCCAAGGCTAGGTTCTTAGGCAGCAAACCCTGTCTAGGGTTTGGCTAGAGTCATGGTTTTAGAATGAAAACAGATGTCTCAGGGTTTCCTCTGGCACCAATCAATCCCCTTTAAACTAGAAGGCTGATTCCTACTTTCTGCCTTCTTGGTTAACATCCCCAGCTTGTCCTTGGCATGACTCATTTAGTCATCACCTACTATAAGACCAGATGCTGGCGCAATCAAGCATGAAAGAAAGAGTGAACAGATGGTCCTGGACCCACGTCCTTGCTTTGCTCTGCATTAAGTTACATGACAGAAGACATATGTTTCATCTGGTTCTGTTTTCTCCTTCATTGAAGGAGACACACAGTGGGTCATTAAGATCACTGGCTTGGTCGTCAAAAATGTGTGGCTTTCCATGTTCCCTTTCCAGTTGAAGAGCAATGTAACGTTGCACAAATTACTTAAGTGTTTTCCACGTCTCAGATTGATTTATGAAATGGAGAAAATAATAGCATCATAGACCAGTTTGATGAGGGTCAATGAGACACCTGTAATATACTGAAAGGATAAAGCAGAGTAGACTATTGCTGTTGTTCTTCTTTTTCTCACTATCATTATCTCTTCTATATCTAAAATTATAATCCTCAATATAATAACTCTACCTTGTTTATATCAGAACACAGAATTCAGGACTATACAGCAAAGAACTGGAGATAAGAACAAAAAATATGATTGAAATATAAAAGAAATCAGAGGAAATAGGAACAACTGCATTTAAAGTAGCAAAACAAGTAGGCATAATACAAAGGTAAAGAGGTTAATACTAAATAAAGAAACCAATTCCATTTGGGATACTAGAACATTCTGACAGAAACATAGGAAACCATGCTTTTACATGAAGATGACTGATGTGTGTAGAAACCTCTTCATATATTGGAGTCATTTTCCCAGCATAATCAAAAAATCATATCTACAACCTCAAAAACACACCATACTGTATTTTATAAATGTGAGTCTAAGTCTAAAAATCAAGAGGTATGTTTCTGGCCCCCTCTAAGTTTTATGTAGGAAAAAACCAAAACTCCCATACACCTGATATCCAGTTCAAAGCACTTATGACCTGGTAGCCACATTAAGCCACAGTTCATGGTGGAACTGGTTGAGAGGTTTAGAATCTAAATCATGGAGTAAGATGCACCAAAGGTTAAGAGAAGCAGAATTGTCTGCTTTGGAGAAACAGAAATAGCACCTGGAGATAAGGCACTAAGAAACTTCATCATCTAGAGTGGCAGCTATAAACATGGCCTTATTTCTGTGAATTTGTCCCTTAATTCTACTGTTTAAAAATAATGACTGGAATTTAAAAGGAATACAAGTTCAAGAGTAAGCAGCACAAAAGAATAATTTTTAAAAAACAAATGAAAAATGCTTCTTAGGCCTGACCTAATGTTCTCTCAAACTCAATACCTCAGAGACAGTCAGAAAACGAAGACAGATTACATCAGAAATATTTTTTAAACATACAACCACCACCAACAACAACAAAAACCCATCATGTACCACATGCCAAAAGGCTATGATGAATTTGTTATCTGTCTGATTCTTAGGGAGACCAGTCCACAAATCAGGCAAAGCACAAAAACTTGCCATTTTGATATTGGTATTCTAAAATTAACATTTACCTAAAAAACTCAATTTTGTGTTGTTGAATTTGTTTTCCATTTATAAATCAATATTAAATTACTAAGAATCGATGTTATTCAATGAAAGGTGGAAACTTGTCTTGTTTTCATCAAAATCTAAAATTTTTATATTTTACTTTTCTTCCAAGAATAGTAGTCTAAACTTGAGACTTATGTTCTGATCTTCTTTTTAAGGTACTGTACGTGTTCATAATTTTCATATCATTTATAATTTCTTGTTCAAATTTTGGTTTCAAATATGGGTCTCAATGGTGCACTATTATGCTTTGCTGTGGGTGCTAATGAGTTGCAAGATGATCATAAGATGTATATCTGATCTAGAAAATGTAAGCACTGTTGATGGTTCCAGGTTAGCTGGAGATTGGACATTCCATCACAGATCCAGGGCACCAGGGTTGCTCCAAGGATCATGCTAGGATGGTGATGCATTTTAGGGTATCAGTGACTTTGACAGCTAGCTTTGTTAACTAGCCCCTTTGGACACCAAAATGAAATTAATTATAGCACAACACTTTTTGGGGGACATAATACAAAACTCTGTAAAGATTTTTAATATGACTTCCGGAATAAAATACACTATCAGATATTTCAGAGATATAGCCTAAAGGAGGCTTTACTAGAAACCATAAACACTTATATTTCCTGCTCAGATTATGACTCATTTTAAATAAAAGCAAAGAAAATGCAGAGCCAAAGGATAAGGGAAAATCAGAGTAAGAGAAATCCAGAAGTAGAGTTCCCAGCCTAAGCTACAGCATCTTGAATGAAATAAATTGTTGGTTGCAAGTAGTTCCTTGGGGAAAGAGGGGACAAACAAACTTTAAGACATTATGTGATCTCCCCAAGTTGTCAATTCCACTATAGTAAGATTGATAAATGATGTTGTTGGAAATTTTTGTATCCATCATGCTATATATTCTCCAGAGTATTCTCTATGTACATATAATTTTAAAAGTTCTTACACACACAAAAAAAACAGAGCATTGTTTTCAAATTTATCATTAACTTAAAAAAGACACATTTATCCTATTTAATGCACTTCACTTTGTAACTACCTAAAAACTGTTTTCTCATCTTTGGTATCAAAATAAATTTAAATTGGGCTCATACTCAGAATTAGCTATGCTCTGCTATCTGTTTCAATGAGTCTTCTTTAACTTATAAGTATTTTATGTTTAACAGCATAACAGCAAAAAAAAAAAAAGCTAAAACTATCAATTCACTCTCTGCTATCATAAAGCTGTAAGGTTGCCTCTACAAAATTTTGAAACTAAAAACAATTTACTTGATTTAAAAAGTAACATTTTCATAGGTAACAGAAAATTTATTTAATAACATGGTCATAATTTATATTTATGGTTTATTTTCAAAGCACTCTGTCACTTTAATAATAATGTAATACTGGCTTTCCAATGAGGTATAATAACATTTCATACGTTGAAACATGAACTTGAATGTGAACTTGAATAATTACTGTTCCACTATAACTTGTTATGGTGGAGATTTAAGCTATTTTAAAGTTGACATTTAACATCTGCAAGAATTATGAGTTTTCAATGCAACCAGCCATCAATAAATATCCGGGTTACTAACTTTACCAGTGTTGTGTGAACAAAGAGACCCACCTCAGGCTGAGGGACAGCAGCTGCTCCTTTGACTTCAGTAGCTCCGCCACTTTAAAACTAGCAAAGCCCAAGAAGCTTCGCTGAAAATGAGAAAGAAAGAATGGTTTCCATTAACTTCTGGGGTTCTTAATATTTTTGATGTCACATCAATCACACAAAATTAGTCTTTAGAAGAAAAAAAAATATTGAATCTATTAACCTAACAAAAATTTCCACTGACAGAAATACCATTACCAATAGCTTATCCACCCTGGAGATGCAACTGAGGGGGGAAAAGTATCATTTGGGTTAAAAACAAAGAGACCAACAGCCTGGAAAATAACAAGGTGTGAAATACAGCAGTCGTGACTTTTCCGTGAACTGTAATTTTCTCTCTGTAAGAAAAATCTAGGGTAAAAAAAAAAAGATCATAAACTTTCAATATTTACCAACGCTGCAGTTCCTATTAGACTTCCTCACATCACTGGGATCAACAACTTTGTATTCCAGATATGAGCAAATCTGTTACTTGGAGCTATTTTTATGTGGGACTCTACAGGAGTTATAAATAGAAACGCTATAATTCTCCCCCATCACAGAAACATTTAAAAATATTTGTTTCCTTTGTTATTTCTTCACTGGCATGGGATAATTTCATTCCAATGTACACCGATAAAATGGTGCTCCTTCCATTATATTTTCTAAAATTGCTTTTTAAACCTATCACACGGGGTTGTTGACTTACCTACAAATTCTTTCTACTCTTTTTGACTCAATGTCAATAATAAAACCCTATTTTTTTTTCTCTCTCTTTTAGGATAAAAATCTCCCATCTCTTTTTAATATCCCCTGGCTACTTCTGATTTGGAAGTCACAATATTATGACAGTAATAACATAAATAGTATCTCTCATTCTTTCCTCAAGATTAAGGAACAAGCAAGAAAATATCCAACCCTACTATTACCTATGACATTGCTGACAAGCATTATAGCCACTCTCCAAGAGGTTAAGACCACTTCTTCCAGAACTTTCTCTCATCACAAGTCTGCTGCTAGACTACAATTGGATTTAAGTAGTCTGAGGCTAAGTGGATTTTTTTTCAGAAGAAAATAGGAAGTTGTTCCATATATAAAAGCAGGGTCTACAGGAAGCATTTGTTAAGCACTGTTATGGAAGAAGAGATTCAGGTGGGCACTTTATACCTCTTTCAAAACTCCAACTTGGGAAAGGAGGTTCATAAAAGTTTAAAACAGACATTTGAAAAGACAACTCAGTTTTGAAGTTGGAGATGTCTCTATGTATTAATGAGAAACCCAATACATTGATTTGAAACTCAAAGCACTAATTTACACACCAACTCAACAAAGCCTTGAAAATCTGAGGTTGTAGGAATAGATAGAAAAATATTAGGCAAAATCAGAGGTTTTGATGAGCAATGGAAGGGAAGTGAATCAGGGCAGAGAAGCAAGTTCGGAAGCTCCATCAACAAAAAAAGCAGAAATCGGTGACTTTTCCATAAAGGGAAGAAAGCTCAGGAAACATCCAGCCTAGGAAAGCATTCAGGTACCTTCCCAAACACTCCCATGGAAGGGACCACTTCTCCCCCCCACCCCACAGTCTTCTCTATTCCCTGTTTTATTTTTCTTCATTGGGGTTTGTCACCTCTGGGGATATTATATGTTTAATTGGTTATTTTTACTCTCCACAAATAATTGAGATTGGAAGATACACAAGAGCTTTATTTCCTTTCTGATAAACTTTGCCGGCAAAGCACTCAGTAGGCTGTGAAAAATGAATGAATAAATGGCAGAGACTCAAGCGTTTCAAGTAAGTTATTTTATTGTAGTGGCACCCCCTTCTCCACAGAAAAGTCTTAACTGGACTTCTCCAGAAATCCTCACCATGGCTAATTTTAGGACTGTCAGCAAAAGAGTCTCTACAAAAGAGTTCAATGCAGATAAACTTCCAATTTTCGTGTTGCCCTGTTTTACTTGGCCACTGGCTGGAAAGAAATCAGCACTCCAGGTGCTGGACACCCCTTACTAGTTTCTCACAAACACGTATCCAGTATAGTGGTTTGTAGAAATGTGTAAAGGAGGCCTCTGACCGTTTCTACATCTCTGGGGCTTCACAGAGATGTATAAATTTCTAAGGTAAGAGAAGTTACCAATTGGGCTCCATGGTAACAGCTGGCAGAGGGAGGAAGGAAAGGGGAGAAGAAGCTCTCCCCTTCTCAGGTGTTGCCCTTGGAGGGTTAACTTGCCCAGAACAGGGAAAGGAAAAGCTGCTTTTATGTGAACTTCTGCAGACTGTGAACTTCTGAGCCCCTCCCCTTACATGCTGGGTATAAAATTCTGAAACTTACCTGAACTCGGGGTTTAGGGGATTTATTGATTACAGCAAAAGCTGTGCCCTCTGAACCTGGCTGCAGCCAAATAAAATTGTTGCCTGCTATCTTCAGTGCCCTGCCTCGTCTGTCCCTACAACATTATCAGACATGGGAGAAACACTCATTCTGTGGTGGTTACTTATAAATGACTGTAATTCACTGAGATGGGAAAATCAAAACAATTTTAGAGTGTGCAGACTCTATAATATTGTAGTAAATTTCATTCCAGCATTTTTAAAGTATGTCTATCTCACTTTTTCTTACACTGATAATCAGGATTTTTAATTTAAATACCTACCTCTCACCCCTTATTCAAAATCAAAGAAAAATTAACACATCATCAATTTTGTAACCCCAAATTTTAAATTATTTTCTGTTTGCCTATTGAGATTACGTAGGTAAGGATGAGTTTAGAATTAATAAAACAAACTGCTTATGTCATGATATTATTGTGTGTTTTTTTTTCTTTCAGAAATAAAGGCACAAATACCCCAGACTGGAATGTAGCAACATGAGACAGGTGGAGTGGCTATTTTTAGACACAAACTACTGACACACCATAAGGCACAGCTGCAGTAAAACAGATGACCACAAGCCACAGAATTCCTCTCCTGTCCACCAGCCCAGGAGGCTCCTGTGCAAACAAGGCCTTGGCTTGTTCATCTCATAACCAAGCCCAGTGTCTGGAAAAGACAGGCTGTATGCTGTGTCTATTGCTATGCTGGGAGCTCACACAGTGGGCCAGGAGAATGAGAAGGAGTCAAGCTTTTCTACCACAACTGTTAACCACATGCTTGATTTCTGGATAATATCAGAACCTTCAGAAATAATGCAACCTGTTGAAATTAATTTGGTTCATTGAAATCTTAGTATTACATTATGAAAACTTTTCAAACCAACAGCACTGTAATCTAGGTACAAATATTACCTTGTTTATTCTAAAAATAATTATATTTGGGGGACTTGGTGTTAGATAAAATGCATTCATGAAATCCCCAAGTTTAAGGACAATATATACTTGTTTCACACTGCAACATGAAAAAATGGAATTACCTATACATTTACTCTCTAGCAGGTCTTTATGTGCTTACTTCACCTTGATATAAGTCAAACCAGGATCTTCCCCACTCCCCAAATGAGAAAGCAAATCCTACAACTACGTCAATATTCATTGGACACAATGTGAGAGGATGAATTAAAGAGAAATCAGTCTTTTCCTGAGATCTCAATTTCCATGGAGGGAAAAAGAACTACTTTTATCTTTGCTGTTGCTGTGACCATAATCACTGAATTTAAGTGGAGTTCTTTAAATTTTTTTAAATTTCAAATATAATTCAAGGTGTGATGTTTTCTGTCTCTCTTTTGGTGCTATGGCTGTGGGAGAGAGAATAAAGACAAACAAAAAATGAAAAACCTCATTGAGGTTGGAACTTAGAAGTCAGAAGCATGGTCCTAAACTATGAATTGGAAATCTGGATAACATAAATCACTTCTCGCAGGCCCCAGGCTCCTTTCCGGGGGTGGGGGGATGGGGTGGCATTCTCAGCCTTGCCTCTTGTCATTTTCCTTATGAAGTCTCTGGTCTTGGACAAGTTGCTCTACTACTCTGGGTCTTACTTTCTACCTTTAAAAATGTACACGTAACTGTTTCTTTCCCATAGTTATTATTTTTAAAATCAAGGTAATCCAGGCAAAGAGCTTAGGACACTACTAGGAAAACAGGAAGCACACCATAAATTTAGTTTACACAGTGACTGAATTAATGCACCCGAGTCAGATGCCTCAGAGTGATCTTCTGTCCACCTTAAATACTCCAGAAAAGGCAGAGAATTAAAAAGGAAGAGAAAAAAAATCTATGAGAAATGCCTTCCTAACAAACAGAAAGATGTGTGTAATATTAAATTCCAGTGGCTTGGGAGGCTGACAGGAGGGTCGTGAGTTCAAAGCCAGCCTCAGCAAAAAGGGGAGGCCCTAAGCAACTCAGTGAGACCCTGTCTCTAAATAAATAAGGGCTGGGGATGTGTCTCAGTGGTTGAGTGCCCCTGAGTTCAATCCCCAGTACCCCCCTGGAAAAAATTAGATTCAGGAGAAATATAAATGAGAAGAAAATCTGCATAAAAGGTGGAGAAAATTAAGATAGTCTACACGGTCCTGTGTAGTTATCACTGTTAGGAACGTGTTACTTATGATTCTGTATAGTGCAACATTGTATTGGGTTATGTGGACTGTTTAAAGGATATTAAGACTTCTTAAGGCAACAGCAGAGAATAAAGGAAGGCAGTGGGGCCCACAGAGTAAACTGCCTTAACATGCAGGGAGGTGAAGTCAGAATCCAGGCTTCTTGCTTCTCTGCCCAGCATTCTTCCATCCCCATCACACTGTGTCTCATTTCCAGGACAGGTGGCAATTCCCTTTCCTTCTGACAGGCTCTCTGCCTGCACAGTGAGTGGCTCTACCCCTTCTTGCCTGCTCATGTGACCATTCAACACTCACCCTTATCATCTGGTACACACAGCACAAAGCTGATGATCATTAAACTGCCTGATGCATGATCTCACTCATTCATCTTGCTGGAGAGTAATGTCAAGCAGGGTGGGAAAACAGGGGGTGGAGGACATGGGAGGAGCCTGTCACCATCCCTGGATCTAAGGGAAGTGCAAAAATCGTTTATGATGATAGCAACAGCAGGATCTCAGAGCAAGTCACGAGACCCCACTTGCTCACCAGGTGATACAGGTCTACAATAGCACTCTGGTCATTCATAAGGGAGTTAAAGGAGGTACAACCCCAAGTTTATTGCCACAGCCTGGTCAAATCTCCATCCCCCCATGTTCATCCACAAAATCTTTATTCAAAGTATAAGTTTCCTTTATAGCATAATTTGAATGGTCCTCCTCAAATTACTCCAACTTCGGTCCAGAGCTGTGCTACCCAATGGGAAGGCATTAGTTTAATTCAAGCATGCAAAATGTGTCTGCTACAAGTGGAAAATGTTCTCAAGACACATGGTGAATATAGCAGACAAAGTACCAAAATAGGAATGTGAAATATAACATTAATTTTTTGGTATTGATTACATTATGAAATGATAATATCTTTCATACATTAAATTACATTAAATTGAACCAGTTACTTTTCACTTTATTTTAAAACATGGCTACTAGAAAATTTTAAATGACTTATGTGGTATGCATTTTTGTGGTATACATTTATATTTCTTTTGGACACTGCTAGTTTAAAGGTTAAATGAATATCTTAATAACACTTTGACCTGTTCTCAAAGGATACATGGAGTAAGTTTTAGAAGGTCTTTCAAGAGCCAAAGTTGATATCATAAGGCTGAGACATGATATCCTATACATATAACTTAAAGTACAGGTTCTTTTTTCACAGTCCAAGTACTCTTTTCTTCACTGCCAACCATCATCAATATGGTTACATGGTTTCCACCCCCATGAAAAAGGGAAAAGAATATGTGAACTATTAACACTAAAAAAAAAAAAAAACATCAGAAAGAAAAAGAATTGGGAGGAAATCTATTAGAAGTTAGATTAGACTCACCCAAAGAAAACATTAAATTAATCATTTTATGGTACAACCATTTATTATAAAATCTTTACTCTGAATACACTTTCAAAAGTCTAAGAGCACAAAGTGATACCTGTTTGAATACATCATCAACAAAAAGGCTTGGATTCACCCAGTAAATGTTGCTTAAGAAATAAATACAGCACACTCTTTACCAAGAGGTTCCATTTATTTATTCAGTTTCAAGGAGAATGAGCTGGTTTACCTCTTTCTCCTCAAACTGCAGCATCACAGGGAGTAAAAGGGTCCTGCACACCTGTGGCTATGAAGAGCTGATGAGGCTCAGAAAAACTTTCTGGGCCCTCTGGGGAAACTAAAGGCAGGCCCACGTATTCCGAGCACAGAGACTGTCAGGGGGAGATCCTACTGAGCAGTTGAAGTGGCTAGCAGCAACAAAAGTGCAGAGAAGGAAGTTGCTCATCCTGTCCCTGGGAAGAAACTGGAAGCTTGTGTTCGGCCAGTCCCCAGGGCCTTCTTTCCTGCTCCCTCTTTACTAGCAGATGCTCAGGTAACCAGACATTCTGCTCAGCCAATTCAACTTGCACATTGGTGCGTATATGTAGAGTGCTCCCTTGGCAGGTTCAGAAGTGACTGTTGTCAATGACGAAAAATGAATCTAACACAGTGCTCTGCACATTCACTGGAAGAAAGTTGTCGAGTGCCTGCAGGATTTGAAACAGGTCTTTTCAGCTGGCTCAGCCCCGGGGCCTCTGAGACTCAACTTTCTTCTGGACTTTTTTCTCCTCTCTGAATGCACAGGTTGCAGGGATTCAGCCTGCTGAGTTGTATCTTGTCAGGAGCTGTCATCTCCGACTCTAGCCTTGTCTAAGCAGAAAGCATCTGCTATCCTCTTGTTCTTCCTAAATCTGAAGCCTGGAGATACATTGGTCCAGAAGCAGCAGGAATATCTCAGCAGAATTTGCCGACACTGGACTGAACATCAATAGTCATCTCTCTTTTGACCTGCCTTACATGTTTCAATGGCTGGAAGCAGAAAACATCAAAGTCCCCAAACTGGTTCCCTGTCCTCTTCCTATGGAGCTGCAGCTCACGACTGTAATTTCCCTAGCCTCCTGATGGCCTGGGAATGTAGGCTATGAACTTCATTTCAGCTACCTGCTGGGTGATCTGTGCTGTCTCTAGTCGGCTGAACTAAATAGATTCATTTGAGGATGATTTTCAGGAGACAAAGAACGAATTCCACACCATTCGATAAACATGTGACAAGGCCTCTTTGAATAGTCAACACCCTGCTAATTTAACTCAAGTTCACTCCTCAGCTACCAGGGAGGAGGCCAGAGAAAATTCAAATGATTAACTAACAAAAGACGTGTAGTGTGCACTTTTTGGAAATATAAGAAACACTTACCCCAACTTCTGGTGGGGGATCTTTCTGTTCAGGTAGGACACTGGTTCGAACCTATGGAGAAAAACAAATATTTTCTATATGACTTTGGAATACAAACTAGTGCAGAAGCTTCAAACAGGTGCTGGATTTCAATTTCCTTCTTCTGGTGTCAATTCAGACTCTGGTTAATCATTAGTGAAGGTGCCTGGGCTCAATCCCCAGTGCAGTACAATACAGCTGTCCTTTTATAGTTTTTAAACTTCCTGATTTTCCTAAGTGGACAGATCCTTGCCCCATTGCCTCTTTGTCAAATATAGTGACATCCGGGATTTAGGAGAATCGCCTTTAAACTCTTCCAAAAGCAAGCTTTGTTCATTAGTCAAAGGAAAGAGAGTTGGCGTAGGGAAAGTAATTCCATGCATGCTCCACAAATGCTCTCTGAATGAGCTCCAAAACCCATGCTCCTATTAGGATACCCCTTCCACATGAGAATTTGCCATCTGAACTCATTTAAAAATAAGTCTCACTTGGAGTAGAGGGAAAAGGGTCAAGCAACCAGTCATCTGGGGGAGGTTTTGATATCAGCTTTCCATGTGAAATGGCAACCCCTTAGATAGTGAGAGGACATATATCTTCTACTGAGTTGTGATTCTCAGTCCAGGCTATACACTACAGTCAACTGAGGATCTCTGCAAAATATTGCTGCTCCTTCCTGTCCCCAAATTTTCTGAATTTAATATACTGTCTAGGGTTCTCTTAAGAAAAAAAAAAAAATGTTTCATACAGAAAAAAAAAAGTCATGATCATCTTTATCTTCTCACTTCAGAAAAAGGTAGCCAAAGCAAGAAAAATAACTTAAAATTTATATTTAGGATGACTTCATTTGAAATAAAGATGAGATAAACCACTAGAATGGCCACAGAGCAATATACAAGCTCAGCCTGTTGCATTGGGAAGGATAGGGAACAGCAGTCAGGAGGATTCCACGGGTCAACATTTTAGGTGTCATTTTAATGAAACTCCTTTGAAGGTGTAGCATGTCAAATCATACTTTTTCCTCACTTTCCTTAAGTCCTGACACACTGGACCACACCAAGTCAGTCAAACTAGGACGAAGGAATGCTTATAATATCCCGAATAATGTCAAACGGCTTGACCCAGACCCTAATGACCTGCTGATCTTTAACACAGTGTTCATTTCCTTTAAAAAATAAAAAATGGTGCAAGGCATGGCAAAATGTGCCTTTTCACTTCCAGCTTAAGGCTCCGTTTCTTTTCTTTATGAGAGATCAAGCACTACTGCTTGCACAATTTGTCAGTCATTATGGCTCCACACTGTTGACCAGAGCACCAAATAAATGACAGGAGAGATCCCAACAGAGTAAACAACACAATTTACAGCACCACTTGACTTGGAATTTCATGGCAGAGTGCAATTGCATGGCACAGCTCTTGCTGGCCAAGAGCATTTGTAGTTTAGCTGAGTAGCTGCATTCGTGTTCTTTGCCCGGGTGTACTATTCAGTCCCATTATCTGAGCGCCATCAGCTATCCTGGGATCAGAAGAGAACTATATGAGAAGTGGGCTGTATAGACCATAGAGTGTGTGTGAATATAGCAACTCTACATACGGTGTGCATGCACAAGTTCAATCTCACATTCTCTCTCTCTATATATATACCTAATGTGTTATAATGAACTATAAATGTAGTGAATAAATGCACATATGCAACACATGCACACACTCATGCATATGTACATTTTTTTTCTTTGGGGTTACTGGGGATTGAACTTGGGGCACTCAACCACTGAGCCACATCCCAACCCCTGTTTTGTATTTTATTTAGAGACAGGGTCTCACTGAGTTGCTTAGCACCTTGCTTTTGCTGAGGCTGGCTTTGAACTCACGATCCTCCTGCCTCAGCCTCCCAAGCTGCTGGGATTACAGGCATGTGCCATGGTGCCAAGCTGTACATTATTTTTAAAATCATTTTCCAAAGTGGTATGTTTGAATTTACAAATACAATTTTAAAAGTCCAAAATCAAGGTTCAACATATATCAAATTATATAAAGTATGTGGATTATGTATATGGGTTAATATGTGTGTATAAATCTATGATTAATGATGAACAAAAGTAGAATAATATTGACAATGCCGACAGGGACCTTTAAACACTTATATTAATTTTATCTTTCCTTATAAATATGAATAGATCAAAGAGAAAAAAAGAAGATCCTGTATCCCAAACCATACACATAAAAAAATTATAATTCACGAACAAGTTTGGCATGTTCTGAGTATGCTTTTATGTGTAAAGGGGGAAAAAAGAGAGAAAATGAAGTTCTTTTTCAATTTACATAATAGAAATATGAGTACATTTTCCTATATTGAAGCACATTTAAATCACCAGTCCAGCTCCTGATTTAGCAGAACTGAAAGATAAAATTTTGTAAACCAATTCCAAATTTTATGAGTCAGATTTTCATATGAAACATTCATTTAAGCCAGTAAAATATGTACAGCTCTAAAACATTTAAGTTAGTATTATTGATATTTTGGTACATACATTATACAACATTGATGCTTTTTTACATAAAACATACACCTCATTTCAGTGAATGAAAACCAGGTAGCAAGCACTGGATTTTCCAATCTCTTTGGGACTTGAGAGCCTAGTGGATAGGATAAAAGTAAAACAACCCAGTACAAAGTAGTGAGTACCCTAACGGAAATAAGAGCATTTGCTCTGGGCATTGGAAGGGAAGAGTAATTCAGTCTGTAAGTGACATAAAAGGCTCCACAGGAAAGGTGCCTGAGTTTTGAAGGATGAGTAGGAGTTTTGGGCATGTAAGCGCACAATAAAGCAAGACGCTGTGTAGCAGGCAGGAGTCAAGGAGTGGTGAAAGTTCAATGGTGTTCAGGAAAGCGTGCCTAATCCGGTGATGCGACAGGGGCTTGTGAGGAAGGGAAAAGTTAAACATGATCAGGGGAATAGGTTGGGGTCATTGGCTGTATAAGGCTTTCTATTGTGTTATAGAATTGGAGCTTATTTGCATTTATTTATTTGAGGCAACAGGAAATTAGGGAAGGTGCTGGATAAAACAATGACATGAACAGATTCCCTTGAATCACGGCAGTCTCCTAGGAGAGATATTTACCCTTTGTATTCCACTTGCCTTTCTATCTTTGGTTCTGTTCTTTAATAGGTAATTAATAACACACCCTGTACCTTGTTCTCTCAAATCTTTTTCAGTCTTTAGAACAGTACCAGATCCAGAGAGAGAAGAAGGCTTAGATGTCCTTCAACAGATGAATGGATAAAGAAAACGTGGTATATATACATAATGGAATATTATTCAGCCTTAAAGAAGAATGAAATTATGCCATTTGCAGGTAAATGGATGGAACTAGAGAATATCATGCTAAGTGAAATAAGCCAATCCCCTCAAACCAAAAACTGAATGTTTTCTCTGATGAGCAGATGTCGATCCATAGTAGGGTGAGGGGATAAGGAAGAATAAAGGAACTTTGGTTCATGTAGAGGGGAGTGAGGGAAGGAGTAGAGTTGTGGGAATGGGAAGAATGGTAGAAAGAGACACTATTACTCCAAGTACATATCTGATTCCACTACTGGAGTGACTCTGAGCCATGTATGTAGAGCCAGAGGAATGAGAAGTTGTGCTCCCTTTGTGTACAATATATAAAAATGCATTCTACTGTAAAATAAAAAAAAATTATTAAAAAAAAAGAAGGCAGGAAGTGATAGAGAAGGAGATGATGTAAGGCGGAGAGGAAATGAGGAGGGAAGGGAGAAAAGAAAGGATGAAAGGAAGACAGAGGAAGGAAGATGGGGGGAGAGAGAGGAGCAGTAGGCAGGGGAGAAATATGTCACCAAAAAACACTAAACTCTGAACAAAGTTAGGCGGGGCCTCTTGGCCAGGAAGAGGTGAAGTGAGTCTCTCACGGCAGCATCTGGAATATTCCAGTTCACTGACAGTGTCAGGCCTCCTGAGAGTTACTGGCCTTCCTCAGGAATTCGTTTTCCCTTTTTTGGTCTCATCAGAAGTTTCCTCTGTCCGTCTGCACCATATCCCTCCTGTCTGGTCTTGGGACAGAGGAATGTCTGCCTGAGTGATGACCAAAAGCTCCTGCAGTGCTCTTGGGTCCTGACACTGATGCAGGCTTCTGTTCACTGCTCCACTCGAGCCTGCAGAGCAGTGAACAGGAATGACCACGGAGGAGATCTTGCTATGCATCCCATCTTGACTGTGTCTGAAGTTCATATGAAACAAACTAATTTGCTTCACTATGAGCCTCAGATGTTCAACATTCTACTCACCAAATCGGCCTTGAAACAAAACAAAACACAACAACCCATAGCACCTGTGAGTTCTACTCAAGTCTCCCATCAACTTCCTAGAGTCTATTTCGCCAACCTTAACTAGTTCCTAACAAGCTGCGGTGGGTGAAAACAACACTTACAGGCTCAAATTCATGCAGAAAACATTCCTTAAACTAGTCAATCTCTTGCTAGAAACACAGCTCCACTGTGCTTAGGTGAAGACTGCCATGATTTTCATGAGTGGAAGAGAATGTGGCATTGGGGCTGCCAAAAATTGAGGATCCCAACCTAGAGAAGGAGAGGGTCACACTGCCATGAGTCAGCACACCTGGGTGGCACTGCCTGGACCACATGCAGCTGTATGTGGGCATCCTCACTGGGGTGAGGATGAAGCAGCCTACGGGTAGAAAGACTCAGAAGGAAGACAAAGGGAAGGGTGGCTGATTCCAGAGGGACACTTCTGAGCAGGGAGAGAGCCCAGGTCCTCTGCTCAGAATACTGCCGCATCTGGGGGTGTCTCTGAAAATGAATGCAATGTTGAAGCATATTCTTCTTCCCCGCCAATACAAATTCCCAATTATCTATGTATCTCAAGTTCAAATACACAATGATCATCCCATTCACTTGGATAAGACAGAGATCTATATTCATATTTGAACCCATGAAAACCTGGCTGGGATAGAAACGTTCAGCTTCCTTCCACAATATGGATTTTTCTGGAGGAAGACG